GTGAAAAACCTCTCACTTTTAAGGACTGTTTTATGGACTAGCTAAAGTATGTAATAAGGAACTTGTCAGAATTTCAGAAAGTTCATACCTCTGTGCCATCTTCACAGATGACCAAGTTATCATCTGGTTTGAATTCTGAAGCACCAGTTTTATACCAACTAGTCAGCTTAGGCATTACATCTCTTGTTCTTGCCTGCGATTCATGGAACTCCTTGATTCCACCTCCTACCAGGGTCCATTTTGGTTGAAAATAATGAAACTTTTGGGAGAAAAATACATTAAAAATTTCATGGTTTTTACTCTAACAGACAATAGTAAACTCTCATTGAAGCAGGTTTCCCAATAGAATCAAATTATACATGTTTTTATATGATTTCCGAGCCAATCCCACACGGCTTACCACCTCATCTCTCATGTACTATTTTTTCGTGGGATCCTACCAGCTCACTAGATACACTGTGCTGACGAGGCCCAATACAGGCTGAATATAACAGCTAGCGCTGTCCATGGTTTCTAGTTGGGCTAGCTAGCTGGCTCATTTTTTTGCGACTTGAAGTTGTGAAAGGCCCATTGGCCCTCTTCTTCAGTCGTTTCATACAAGGCTCCTAATTTACCTATTACGTATGTTCTCAAATTACAGTCGTAATCGGTCAATCCCTGCTTCTGGACAACAATATCTAGCTGAGCAGTAAATGCAGCTCGCAAAGCAGGAACGCACAAAATGACCAGCCCTCAGCATTTTGGAGTATGAAAGAACGAAGCAAACATGGCGGTAGGTAAAGAGAAATTGTTTTTAATTTATTCTTTCTTTCCATATTTTTGTAGGCCTGCATATTATATTTTAGTCAAAAAATGCAAATGCTCGGTTACATTTGTCAGCTGGAATTGAGGGCTAGCGGCAAAACAGCTAATCGCTCTGTGATTGGCTGAAACAAAATCCATGCACCGTTCAGCTGGATTAAGATCTTATATTCCTTGTTTTAAAAGTTCAAAGGAATGTAATAGCCAGGTTAAGAAGGGTTCTGGTGTTGTCATAGCAACGTCTTGTATGTCATTTTTTTCAAGTTCATCATTATTTTACTGTAGGTTAATATATGGTCACTGTCTTTCTCAGCTGTTTATTCTTCCTAGTCCATTAAAATTCAGGTCATTATTGTGAGTGTAAGAAGACGCAGAAATCACTTATTCGTGAAAGAAAGAGAAAGATACATGCAACATAATGTAATTTATGCCATTTATTTTTTTGTTTTGCCCCCTGGACACCCCATGATTCCTTGCGATCAAAGACAGCTGCTTTATTATCAAGACACACTGTCTGTCAGAGTCAGAACCATGAATGGTCATGCTCTGAAGCTTATGAATATACATTAAACACAGAAAAAATGCAGGAAAAATAAAAAAATATGTTATAGATTTTAATCAAGATTTTATTAAATTAAAAATTTACAGTACAATCTTATGACTTCTGAAAAGGAGAAAGTTAAAAATTATAGTGATGACGTGTGATAAGTTGATTTGTCGTTACATGACTATCATACACGTACCTCTGAAGGTTCAACTATTGCAGTACTATTCTTCCCAAACTTCCTACAAAGAGAAGAAGCGATTGATAAACCTCCCGCTCCGCCTCCGACGATCACAAACTGATACGAAAGCCGAGCATGGCTGACAGTACTGGTGCTCAGAGAACGATTTTTTGCAGCTAGAAAAAACAATCTCTTCCCAAACATTCTTTTGACTTCATTCTGAAGATACTATAAATGATGAGGAAACTGAAAATCCCAGTATTTTGAAGATTTTCTCGATTTCTAACAGCTGTTTTGATTGGCCAAAAACAGCCAAGCACGGTCCAGACACGTGCAAGACGTGCATGCTTTAAGTGGTTATTATAAACGGAAGTTGTGATTGGATGAAATGTCTGGGAACGTGTGAGCTGTCACATTCACATCTGGCAAAGAACCCAGTCAAATAAATATGTAAATTTTGAAGTAAAAATAAAAATTCAAGTTCATGTAAAACTACATGCAGCCTTTCTTGCCTTTGCAAACCGCAAAACAAATTCTATTTGAAGTCCGTCTCGTCTGAGGTTGAATTTACTAAATTTTGAGAAGCGTGGGCTTCCTGTGGAATTTCCCACTAACCGGAAGTACAATCAACCGGAAGTCATTAATCAAAATACTCCGCTGTCAAAACTCAGTGCAGGCTCATTGTTGACATTTGAATTTTTTCGAGCTTCGATCAAGTTGCAAAAGTTTCTTAATTTTTTGGCTGAAAATGGTAATTGTTCTATTGATTTCGATCTTAACTAAATCTAGGTTTATAATATGTGTCATTTTATCGTTATTTTACTTTAAAAAATGTTAGTTTTATATAAATATAATCGAAAATCAATATTCAACACGCCGCCCTACCCAATCTAATCTATGAATTTTAATATYTTTAAGCCAGTTAATATCTTTGAAATATTTTTATTTTTAGGAGCATTTTTCTGCTGATGAAATCGACGGTAGGTTGAATTATTTAATATCTATATTATTCTATGTATTTTTATATGTTGTAGGTCTATATTCATTCAATAACATCGGATAGTAATGTTATAACTATGACATACTTCGGTATGTGTGAGACATTACCTGTGTTTTTAAGTCAGTTTTACCGAATTTCGCTAACTCAGAAGCTTTGTTTTAATATAATTTTGTTTACTTTATGTATTTTTGAAGGATATGTTTCATATTTTGTTTTATTAAAAGCCTTTTTTTTAGATTTTGTCATCCTTTTCCCCCTCTGATAAATAACAAAATGTCTCTAATGAGTTCGTCAATATTCAAACCCAACATATATGATAACAATTAATCTGACCATCAAATTTGACTTTCCTCGGATCCAACCTGTCTATATTGAGATATTATCAATATGTATTAAGATTCCCATGGTCTTTTTGATAGAATTCAAGGAATGCTTCAGTCTCAATGACCAAGACAGTGATGGATTCATTGGACGAGAAGAGTTAGAAACAATAATGAGATCTCTTGGTGAACCAGTGACGTACATTGAGATTAACGAAATGGTCAARAGATTTGGTAAGAAGAATATTTTTAAAAACTCTTTCTACTATTAATTTTTATATGCCAAAATATGGCAACCAGTTTAAATAACTATTGTTCYGCAATGACTAGTGACTAACTAGCCTCTCATACATGCAAAAATGCTTTTATGTTTCCATGTGAACATAAGGCTAGTAGGTCACTAGTCAGTTGCTATTCAGTGCAGAACAATAGTTATTAAAATTGATGATATATGCCGATTTTAAAACACTGGTTTAGCTAATGYATTGCTACAGAGAAGAAGTAAGACCAATTATTAAGATAAAAGTGATTAGAAAATGCTGCTGATGTATCAGTTACAAATCCAAATAAATACAAAGCTAACTCACTGATGTTTTCAGGAAAGAATCGCATCAAGTTTCCTGACTTTCTGAAGTTGATGGCTGAGCAACGAGCAAAGAAAAGCAAACCTGCAGAGGAAATTCTTTCAGCTTTTGCAGCATGCGACAAAAGGAATACCAAATCCATCAGTCGAGCAGAATTAAAACACTTTATGGTAGATACTGGAGAGAAAATGTCACAACAAGAATGTAAGATTATTTTTCCAGAAAAT